GGGTGGGCTATCGGACCCCCATCGGCGATGGATGGTTGTTTGCGAGGCGGTGCGCCCCCCCCTCAGCCGATCCCCCCCTGACGTCGTCCTGACTGGCCTTGGCGTTCGAGTCATAACTCGGCTGTCCGGCGGCCGTCAGGGACGATCTGGGCATCCCCCTGGAAGGCCCCCGGCGAGGACCAGTTGTTGGAACGCACCCCGAGGCTCGACAATTTCCAGGAGCCGACGGGAACGTTCCGAAAACCTCGAACCGCGAACCTGTCGACCCCCATTGAGCCTATCCCCGTGGATTTCGGGGGGCGATGCGTCCTTGCCAGGGGGGAAGGACAAGATCGAAGCAAGTGGATGCCAAGGTGAACCACATCTGGCCTAACCTTGCTGAGAACTTGGTAACAGGTGCCCTTAAGCGGCTGACGGAGGGCAAAGATCTGGGCTGAGTGGGCGGAGCCCACTTAGCAGACTAACCTAACCCTTTTCAGACCACTGCGGGCACGTGTAACCCACTTGTAGGCTGGGCTAGGCCAGATACAACCAACCTTCGCATCCACGTAGAAGCTCCAAATTCCCGTAGCAACTTAGCAACCCCAGCGGTGACCCACGCATCCCCACACTTGCCCCTCCACCCAGGACCCCTTTCCAAGGACCGATGTTTCATCTTGAGCCGTTCTCTGACGGTCCCGGGGCCAGTGAGGGGCCCCAGAGGCCGAGATTTGCCCAAAACTTCCTGTGGGTATTGTTCCATGGCGCGAGGATTGCCGATTGGAGGTTCGACGCGTCCCCCCCTCAGCCTTCTCCGCGAAGACGAATGGCGCGCGGAGCGCCCCAGGGGCTGCGCCAGAGGCGCCGCCAGGGGGGGGGGCGAGCGCCGATCCAAGCAATCTGCGCGGAGCTCCAAAGGTTTAGTTAATGTGCCCTCGTTTGCTCCTCTAGAGTTTTTTATGCTCCTTCTGTTTATGTCGATGCGTCCCCCCATCAGCCCATCCAATCTCAGCGCTGCCCCCCTCAACCCAGGACCCCGACGTGCAACTGCCCTGGGTGCACCGGCTCAAGTGCGAGCTGCCGCGCCGCGTCGGGCGCCTCTCAGGGGACCTGCCCACCAAGGCCTCGCACATCTGCGTCGCCAGCGACGACGCCGAGGCGGGCCTCCTCACAGACCCAGACCCCCTCGCGTCGCGAAAATGTAACGACGGATAACGACGCAAGTTCTTCGGACACGTTCTGGCGTTGTCGCCAGTTCTCCAGCCTCGGGTGCTCTCCAGCAGCTGCGCCTCGCCGACAGCGCTCGGGGGGACTGCCTGGACCGTCCCGATCGGCCGCTGCAGAGCCGATGCCAGTGAAGACCCGAGAGCCAGATCCCCTCGCGTCGTGAGATCCCTCACGCCCCCACCTCCCGTCGACCCCTCGAAGTTCGAAGGCAAGGCCCGACGTCCGAGGATCGGACCTGGACCTCTTTCGCTCTTCTTGGACTCCTGGAGGCTCCTCGTCGCCGCGGCTGGATCTGGATTCAGATTCTGGCTGGAACGGGTCCGGGCTTCGGTTTCTGACCCCTGGACTGCGCGAGAGATCTTCGCGTCGTGAGAGAAGTGTCCCACCATTTTCGGTCTCCGGGCGGGCGTCCCTCGCCGGGCCGAGGGCTGCCAGAAAACGACTCTCGGGCCGAAACGTCGGACCCGGGGAAGGTCGGCCATGCGCAGAGAGGGGTATGGGGGAGGGGGAAGGCCTCAGAGAGGCACCCTTGCTTCTTAGGAGGCGCGGGCCTTGTCTATAGCTGTAAGGCCGGCGCCCTCTGAGCAGCAGCCTCCTTCTTAGAAGCCTTCCCCGCCCTACTCCCGTGTGCGCCCCGCCATGGAGGGGGCCAGACCTCTGGGGGCCCACGTCATGAATCGTGATGTCAGGGGTCTGGGCCCAGGCTCCCCTCAAACAGAAGCACGGCATGGCCGGGGCTTCCGAGTTCAGGCCCGCAGGGTCGGCTGCGCAAAGGAGTGGCCATTCGTCGGAGGGGCAACTGGCGCGGGCCTGAAGCGGTCCCCCCAGCGCAGGCTTGCGCGTTCGGGCTTGGCCCCCGCAGCCCCCTGAAGCCGCGCACCAGAGGCCACTCTTGCCGAGGGTCACGCCTGCGAGCATCCAGCGGGGACCCCGTCTCCTGGCCCAGGGCCACGCACCAGCAAGCAAGTGTCCCGCGCCGGGAGGTTCGCGGGAGGGGTGGGGATGTAGACAGCTCCAGGGCCCCATGTCGTGCCAAGAGCACCCCAGACGACGGAGGCCCGATGCCCATGCTAAACCCAGACCCACTCGCGCCCGCGAAGCAAACACAGCACAACCTCTGGGGCCCTCGCCCGGCCCCGGGGAACATGCGCTGTGAAAAAGTCAGGACTCAGGAGGGAAAGAGCCGCACAGACACCAATAATTGTCGATCCCCCGGAAAGGATGGAACATGTGGACGTGGAGGGGAAGACGAGCATCCCGGGAAGATGAAACATGTTGGGAATATTCGGATTCTTGTCTATTCATTTGTGTGTACTTGGGCTCTTCCAATGACGTCGAGGGTCTGGGAAGCGAGGGCCATGGCAATTGCGGGGAAGTCGAGGGTCGTGCGCCTCCTTCTCCAGGCTTCCTGCCCGTGCGGAGTCGACCCCTCAGTCGCGCCCCTGCTCCCGCCGCCTCCAACCGCCACCTCTACCGCTGTCGAATCTCCCCCCCCCTCCCCCTTCAGTAAGTAGCTCCCTTCTCCTCCCTCTGTCCTGAGGCCCGCCACGCGTAGGGTGAGCCAGTGAGGCGCTGGCCGCCGTTCCACCACTCCCGAGGACCCCCCAGCTTCTCCACACTTGTTCTGGCCTCGGCGGTGTGAGCACTCCAAGTGAGCGAGATCTGACAACAAAAGCCACGGCCCAGAGCATGCAGTTAGCAAGTTGACATGCGGAGCTCGAACTGGGAAGACAGACAGACAGACAGACAGACAGACAGACAGAGACAGCCAGACAGACAGACAGACAGACAGACAGACAGACAGACAGACAGAGACAGCCAGACAGACAGACAGACAGACAGACAGACAGAGAGAGACAGACAGACAGACAGACAGACAGACAGACAGACAGAGAGAGACAGACAGACACACAGACAGACAGACAGACAGACAGACAGACAGACAGACAGACAGACAGACAGACAGACAGACAGACAGACAGACAGACAGACAGATAGACAGACCCTCCTCCTCGCGGCGCTCTGAGGGTGTTGATGCACGCCTAGGCACAGGCAGGCAGCGTGATGACAGCAGTTGTGATAGTGACTGACGCACGCGCGTGCGCCTTAGAGAGTCCAGGGGAATCCTCCGCGCGACGCTGCCGAGGAACGATATGAGGTGTTCAAGAAGGCCATGGCCCAGATCGGCGTGGTGCTCAGCCGGCGGATCCGCAACCCCCCCGACCGTTTCGAGCTGGCCCATCTTGAGCAGTCCGACCTGATTTACATCGAGGGCGGCGACCGCAAGCGTCTGTGGGAGGGCCTGAGCAAGGACATCTCGAGCCAGACCCGTGGTCCTCTGGCCGCCCCGAAGGGCCAGGGTGGGCGACCCCGGGAGCAGCGTCGTGGGGAGGGAAAGAACATACGCAGAGATGCCCGTGCCGTTCCCCTTGTCTTCACCCTGCCGAGCCTTCCCCGGGGCCCTTCTCGCCACGGCTCGAAGTCGCCTCGAGATCCATGACAGGTGCAGGGGGCAGAGTATCGGTATTTGTGTTGTCCCTCTGCGGCCTGGCATGCGGCCGCCCCCGGGGGCCGAGGAGAAAGCCAGAAAGGCAAACCATCCTCTGATGTTGCGCCGGCGCTGGATGACATATCGGCCGAGCTCCTTCCTCGAAGTGTCAGAGGGGGCTCTTCGGGGGGAGCGCGCGCTGGCTGCAGCCAGAGTTGGGCCCCAGATGGGGCCTAGAAATCGCGCCCTCGCCGCACCCCCCATCCCCAAACGCCGCTGAGGGCTCGACCCCCTCCACAGGACCGGCTTTTCGCCCGCAGCCTTTTGTTTTTGTGTGTTTGACGGTCCTGGGGCCCGAGAACGCCCCAGGTGGCCGAGAGAGAAACGCCGTGCACATCGGTGGTGCATGGGTAAGTCGACTAGACAGGAACAGAGGGAGGAGGGGGCGGAGGGAGGCGAGATGAGACGGCGAGGCAGGGAGGGGGGGAGGAGGAGGTGGCGGGGCGACCAGGCACTGCCAAAAACAGGCGTGCAAAGTTCTTTCGAAGAAGAAAAAACAGCATACGTACAATCGGTCGGAGCTCCACGCGGATGTCTGGAATCGGCATTGAGTCGCCCCTGGTGGCGCTTCCGGCTCCGCGGTCCGGCGCCGATCCAAGGAGCCCGAACGGGGCTCCAACAGCTTATGTTCATGCAGATTGTTGTGCTTCTGTTCTTGCGCCCAGGACGAAGGCCTCCGACGCGTATGTGTTTTTTTGGGGGGGTGGCACAGCGTCGACCCACAGAGGTCTCGACCCGTTCCCCAGGACCCGGTGTTCCTCTCGGGTCGTTTTCTCACGGCCCAGGGGCCCAGCAGGGGCTCCCAGAGGCCGAACATGGCAACAACAACAATAACAAATACCGCCGATTCTTGTGTCACGACGCGAGGGGCCTGGGGTCACAGGCGGTTCTCCCCTAATCCCCGAGTTCCGCCCGAAAAGTTTGGCCGCCCAGAGAACTTCGGAAACTCTGGGATACACCCCCAGGGGGCTACTCGGACGCACCCCTATCGAGGACGGACGCCTCCCCCCACCGTATATCCCAGGGTCCCAAATGTCTGGCCAAGTCGAAAATCCCACGAAGCCCGGAATATGGGTCGACATATCCCCTGTTATGGGGATTCGGGAGTTCTCTTCGGGGTCGGCCCCTGGGCCCCCCGCGCACCCGGTCATCGGGGGGCGGCCCGGAGAGACCGCGGAAACAGCTCGCGGAGCACGTGACGTGGCGTTACCTGCAGGGCGCGGTGGTCGTGGCGGCGGGGGAGGCCATGTCGCTGCTGGGCGAGAAATCGTGGTGGGGCAGCCATGCCGCTTCTGCTGTCGCTGCTGCTGTCGCTGCCGCTGTCGCTGCGGGGGAGGCCATGGCGTCGCTGCTGCTATCGCTGCGGGGGGCCATGTCGCTGCTGGTGTCGCCTCGGGGGAGGCCATGTCGCTGCTGGAAGGGGGCTTGTGATCCTGGCGTCGCAGTTCTTTCGCACCCGGCGAATGTCGCCCTGTTTTGGACATCCGGAGACCCTCGCGGATCGATGCGGCTCGACGCATGCAGCAGAAGGATGCAGTCTCGGGCTCCGGTCGCGATGTTCTTCGATGTTTTCGTAACCTCGGATGTCAGGGGAGGGGCAGGAGGAGGAATCACTCGTCTGCCCAGTTGTTTGTGTGACCCTGACCTGGTTGGTTGTTTTCGTTTCCCTCACCCCTGGCGTTGGGCAGGGCTTAGGCCCACCAGTGGCGCCAATCCTCGGATAGAACCGCCAACACTGCAGATCGCATGGGAAGCAATCGAGGAGGAGGAGGAGGAGGAAGAGGAGGAGGAGGAGGGGGAGATGGTCGCGGCGGCGGGAGAGGCCATATTTTCCTTCTCGGCGAAAAAGACCGGTAAGGAGAAGAGGAGGATGAGAGGAGCAATGGAGGAATCCAGGTCTTTTTGAAGGTTCGTTGTTCCCTTCAGGCCTCGTGAGTACTACGGGAGGCCTCCTGAGGCCTGCGGGAGCTCTGAAGAGGCTTCCGCGGATGCCTCTACAGATCTCCATATGGCCCTCTGGAGGATTCGGGAGACCTCCCGAAGGGGGCAGGAGTGTGGAGGATTCGTCTTCCAGAATGTTGTCATCCTCTCACAATTCAATTCTGACGCGCCCCTATCGAGGTCGGCTCGGGGAGGGTACCCCTGTGTCTTTCGTGTTTGTTGGATGTTAGTGTGCATCCTGTGGGAGGGCACCCTCAGGGTGGGCCGGCGGAGGGTCTCACGTTCTTAAAGGATGTTCTTATGTCCTAGGTCAGACCGTAGTCTTTCACCATTCCAGCGGCCCCCAGAAACGGATGTGTGATATGTGCTGCTTCTGGTTCCGTAGGTGTTGTATGCCGCTTCCCGTCGCGCTGTTTGCGTACAGTTGCTGCTGACTCGTCCTCCTCTTCCTCCGCATCTGGTGGGGCTTCTGGGGGCGTTGGGGAGCCCTCTGACGGCCTGGGGTCTTGGGGGCCATCTTGTTAGGGAGGACTCCCGGGGTCCCTGTGAGTTTCTCTTGGGGCCCTCTTGAAGGCATTGTTGGTCGTCTGGGGTGCTTCTTCGGCCATCTTGGGGCCTTCTTTGGAAGTCTTCGGGGCCTCTGCGGTACTTCTTGGGCTGTCTTGGACCGGTCTGGGGGGCATCTCGGGCCGTCTGAGGTTTCCAGAAGCCAGATATGGGAAGAATGAGAAAACCAGCTCAAGCACAAATTGGAATTTCAATGATTGTTTCATCTTGAGGCCCTCGAGGGTTCTCTTGGGACCCTCTTGGGGCGTCTTAGGGGCATCATAAGTCATCTTGAGTGTCCTCGGGGACTCTCTGGCGTGTTGGAGCCCTTTTCTGGAGCTCTCTCAGAAAGCATCTTGGGCACCTTGGCGACCTCCGAGGGTGGATTCGGAGGCTCAGAGGACCCCAAAGGTGCGCTGACGAGCTAGTCCCCCCACCCGTCCACCCCCTGGGCCAGGGGAGGCGCCCAGGGGAGGGAGACAGCCACATGCCAGCAGGGGGGAAACCATAAACGTACACAAAGAAACTTCGCCTCCCAGGAAGCAGACTTCAAAACATGGGAGGTGGGGGGGAAGACGAACACGAGGAGATATAGAAGGTAGTGGGATGGGAATCCTGGGACTTATGTCTGTTTAGTCATCTATCCCTGGGTCCCCCTTCAAAATGTCTTGCACGCCGTTTCTCCCATGGCAAGCGGGGTCGGTGGTTTTAAAGGCCAGGGCCCTTGTCTCCAGGGCTGAACTTATGTCTTTCTTTGGGAACTTTAGTCAACACGCCTCAGGGCAGGTCAGACATGTCAGGCACCGAAGAGAACAAGGTTGAGCAGCTACCTCCCTTGCACTTGGCTTGGTTCCCCCCCCGCCCCTGGCGGCTCCCCCAGGGGACTCCCTCAGGCTGCAAGACGGCCCAAGTGCCCCCCTGGGATGTCTGGAGAAGGCCTCCAACATGGCTCCAGTGCTGCCCGAGATGTCCGCAGGGCCACCCAATGGGCACATCGCGGCCCAGGAGCCGCCCAAGTCGGCCCACGGGCACTCAAAAGGTATTCCGAGGAGATTTCCCAACAGGCCACGGATATATTGTTTCGCTGTGTTGGTGTATTCATGCTATTTACGCTCGCCCTTTCGACTTCCAAGGCGTCCAAGGTGGCACAAAAAGCCCCCGCGATCGCTCCCAGGCGGCTACAAACTGCCCACAGACGCCTCAAGAGGGCTTCTGGAGGGGGCCACGATGATTCGGAGGGTTCTGGGGCGCACCGAGGTGAGCCCAACACAGCCCAAACACAGCACCAGGAGGCTCAGAAGAGGGCCCAGGGGGGCCCAAGACGGCCGAAGATGGCCACGGAATTGTCCCAGAGGCACCAAAGGCAAGCCCAAACCTAACCCAAGAGGCCTTCGGACACGTTCCCTTGACACCTCCCCTGGCACGTTCCCTGACGCGCTTGTCCCCGGGCCCGCGAGCAACCCGTGGGTAGTGCAAGAGTGCACTCGAAAGAAGGGGGCCTTCCCTTTTAAACCAGCTTGGATGACTTCTCAACCTCTCCATGGCGATTGGCCTCCGAGTTCGAGGATATCTTGGGATGCCTCCTCTCCTCCTCGTCCCTCTCCTCCTCTTCGTCCTCCTCCCCCTCCTCCGGCTCTCTTACTCCTAGCCGTTTGGGCTTCGTATGCTTGTGTGCCGAGACGGCGCGCGATTTTTTGGGGCTTCTGGCAATATCTGCGCGACTTCGGCTGGGATGCTAGCTCCCGACTGGGGAGCACAGATCACACATATTTGGTTAACCATAGGGAAGCGCTTGAAGGGCCGTGCGAGACGCAAGAAACAAGAAGTGCAAGATGGAAGTCCTCGGCCAATAATGGGCCAGTCAGCCCAGCCTGGATTGCATGCGAGGGGCGGAATTTTGACAATCCCGCCTCTGCCGCCGTAGCTTGAGCAGCCTCGACCGTGGTTGACAGCGCCCCGTCCTTCTCTACAGACGTCTCAGCGCTCGGACTCCAGGCAGAAGAACGAGGAAGAATATGCCAGAGTGGCCTGCACTTCGTGCAGTCGCTGGGCGTGGGTGTCTACATTGCCAGTGTATACGAATACGCACGTGCTTGTGCGGCGCGCCCTTCGGCAATCAGCCTGTTCAGGTGAAGGATGGTGACTCTGACCAGGGCAAGAGCTCAGGCAAGGGCTCGGGCAAGGGCATGGCCAACAGCGTGGGGGCACAGCTGGAGGCCTTCGTCAAGACCGAGCAAGGGAGCCCTGAGGCCACGGCCTTGAAGCCCAGAAGGCGGACGTCACGGTGAAGCCCCCGTCGCAACCTACCCAGCTGGTCACGGCGGCTGTGGTCAAGGTCCAGCGGGCTCAGGTGGCCATTGACAAGGCGAGGGCGAACAAGTTTAACCTCACCTGGGACGCGGAGAGAGCTTCGGAGGTCATGGCAGGAGCTGCTCGTTCGTTAGCCGCTGCGGAGAAAGTGCGCGCAAACCTGTTCAAGACGATGGTGCCAGATGAGAGCAGTAATCAGAAGTCGGGGCTGCTCTTGACCTCGACCCACTCTTGTCTGTGACGGAGGGTGGCCTTGTCAATCCCGATATGTTTACCATATCGTTTAGACCATAGATCTCGAATGGCGACGGGGCCATGTCAGCATCGGATGTGGAGGAGTTGGGTCGACATAGCACGGTTTTAGAGGTTCCGGCGGACGCTATGCGCGCAATTTTCGGACCGCTCGAATTTAACCTCGCTCCGCATAGGGCTAAGTTGGATGAGCTAAGTTGGAGAGATCATGCAGGGCCGCCGCCGCCGGCGTCGACTCGGCGCACGCGCCGACCGCGACAAGTGCTGTCGACGCGCCAGTCGAGGCAGGTTGACTGGAGCTCGCCGCGCGGCGGCCGGCCAGCATCCGTGGCAATCGGCGCGAACCCGTTTTTGCGATGGTGGTCGAGGGGCAGACGCGCCTCCCCCGCCTTGTCCTCAGGGGTCGGTCATGCGTCATTTGCATGCGAGGAATCTCGGTGGCTGGGGCCCTGCGACCCGCACTCGTTGTCGCGAGCAGGTCGCGGATGTCGCTGTTGTCCCTGAAACCCACGTCGCCTCATCGGACTCTGACGAGCTTCTGCGCGATTGGAGGAAGGCGGGGTGCACCGGGGTTCTCTCTGCGTCCTGGTCCCAGAGCCCAAGGACAGGCGCAGTGGGATCACCACGTGTGTTTTCGAGCGTTGCAACACAGGGTCGCTCCGCCATGTGGTCAGCCCCCCGAACGAGCAGGTCGGGCTCCGCGGTCTAGACTAGGCGGGCGAGTTGCCAGGCATCGATTCTCGTGGCATGGACGCCGCGCAGCTTCAGGCCCAGGGCCAGTTTCTAGTCACTGTTGGAACTCGCATGACCTCGTCAGGCGGGGCCAGGGCCAATCTGCTGAAGTTGTGAAACGCCGGAATATTTCGCAACAGCGATCCAGTGGCCTTGGCTCGCCATCGGCCACATCGTGGCCTCCTCCACCTTTAGCTACACGCGCGCCTTTGGAAGTGGGCGCATTCTTGATTATTTTGCCATGTCGTTTCAGGCTCAGCATCTGACCCAGTCGCCCGAGGCGGTCTTCGAGGCGATAGGGCAGGTGGGCAAGGCCCATTGCGGGCTCAGGCCAGCGTCGGACTCCTCCGCGGAGCGCACCCAAGCTGGGGCCACGCGCGCGCCGAATAGTAGATCCTGATGGCAAGCGGTCGAAGGCGAAGGCGACGCGGCATAGACGGCCCCCCTTCGTCGCCAGGAACAGCCAGGACCAAATTTGCTGCGATTGCATTATCCAGAACGGGGGCGCGACCGCGGCGGCTGCCAGCATTCGCTCACCCTAGCCCCTTCTATCGAGTATAAGCTCCAAGGCAGTCGCCGGATCTACCGAGTATAATATGCAAGGCGCTTGCCCCCGAATTCAGGAAATGAGCAGGGGCGGAGGACGGCGTGGACACGATTGCTGGCCTGCGCCATCTAGCCAGGCTCAGGCAAGAGCCCCCCAAGAACGCAAGTCTTTTGCGCACCGCCCTCACGCGGGGAACTCGGCCTCGCGCTGGAATCCTCTGCGCCAGAGGCGAGCGTTCAGAGACTTGTCCGAGATATGGTCTAGCGCCTGTGACAGACATCCGTCGGTTTTACTCATGCTTTTCGACTTCGGAATTCCATCTGGTTTCGGGTGATTTCGCGAGGCGGGGTGCCAGCGCGGCTTCCGAGGTCCCAATTTGCTAGCTCCGTGGCCTCGGCCCCAAGTCGCGGGCCCGCGCGTGCTGGTGAGCTCTCGCGTGACAAAAAGTGTGCGGTGGAGTCATTGGGCGTCGCGGCTTTTCATCGGGCCCCGCTCACCTCTTCCGACCTGGACCTGCATCTCTGCGTTGCGGCTGGAGGTGGCATCTGGGGGGGACAATCGGTCAATGGAGGGGTGCTCTGGGTCCTTCTCAAGCCTTTGAAATTTTCCCGACCTGGGGCCCGTCTCGGCTACGTGGCCGACTCGCCGCGCGTCGCGTCAGGGTCTGCCAGGGTTCAGGCTGGCCGTATTTCTCTGATTCTCTCTCATCTTGATGAGTGGATGCGCGTTGCTTCTTTGGCCCGGGCGCGCGAGATTGCATTGGCACAGGTTTCCGCGTATTTCGTTGCCGAGGAGGTGTTCGCCCAGTGGGTCGCTCCAGGGCTTCTTGTTCAAATTTCGGCTGCCGAGCACGTTGCAGGGCAGGGCCATGCGGTGCCAGAAACATTTGCTCGCAGCCATGACTGGTGTAATCGAGAAAGAAGGCCCTCGCACTGCGAGGCCGCCTGCAGTTCGAGCGATCTTTACCGTCTGCGAGCACTCAGCACGCGTGCCCCATTTTGCGCGGCGATGCTGCGAAGTGCTCCTCGCGTGGACGTCGGGACGCGGCGCGCCAGGCCCGCCAGTTCTGGGAGACCCCATGTCACAAGATGGAGCGGCCTGCGGTCATCTTCAAGCCCGCAGCCAGCGTTTGGATAAGAAGCCAGCTTGTTTGTTCGACGCGCCAGGTAGCGTCCCACCCTGGTCGCAATGCGTTTTGGTGTTTATGCGACTTTGCCAAGCCACATCCGGACCATGCTTCGAAGTCTGGGGCACAGATTTTTTTGGTGTGGAACGAGTTTTGCTCCCTGGGTCGTGTATTTGGCGCAGACAGAGGGGAGAGGACTGAGCGAGCGGAGAGGGCGCGAGCGCGGAATGCCGCGCCCGCCGCCCGCCCTGTGGCGGACATTGGGTGCCCCGTGCGCATGTGCAGGCCCGCCGCTTCCCTCCCCCCCAGACCCGCCCACGGTCGCGCGGTGCCCGGCCTGGTGGCGAAGTTCGTTAGGTCCAGTGCGGGACCCAGGTCTGGCCTTCGTTTCTCGTCTTGGGCGATCGCTGTATACTCTTCCTCCTCTTTCATCTCCTCCTCCTCTTCCTCTTCGTCTTCCTCTTCCTCCTATCTCTTCCCCGTCCTCCGCTTTCTCCTCCTCCTGGCCTTGGGTCCATCTGGCCTTGGGCCTTGGGTCCATATGGCCCGGGTTGTTGAGGTTGCTGGTCGCCGCGTTGCGGGTCCAAGGCTCCGCTGGTCCTGCATGTTGCGATTTAGAGTCCTTGGTCGTTGTGGCCTCCTATCGCCACCCATATGTTCCAGGGTTCTCTTGGCCTTTTGGTTGCTGCGACTTCCGGCCGCCGCCCACAGGGTCCTGGTCCCCGCTGCACTCGTGGTTGCTACACTTTCTGGCCTGGGGGTACGGCACCCGGTGAGAATGTGTTGTTCTGGGTCGGCATTGGCAGTCGTGGAAAGTGGCGCGCGTGGACAGTACTGCTTGTGTTTGGCGGTGTACATCAAGATCTCCACGCCGTTGAAACGCTGCCATGGAAGCGCTGTCTGTGTGCTCATGTTTCTAGTAAGTGTGTGCAGCGTCTGCCCAATCAATGTTTGCACCAGAGATTATGTTTGGCGTTCTTGAGAAACTGGGTGGGTTTGCCGAGGTTTCGCCATGGTGCCGCCCGCGTTCACTTTGTGATTTTGCTGAAGTTTCGCCTGGTGGCCGCCCGTGGGCACCTCGTGGGCGCCCCGTGCGCTGAGTGGGTTTGCTGAGGTTTCGCCTGGTGGCCGCCCGTGGCCGCCTCGTGGGCGCCCGGTTGGCGGCCGCGTATCCAGCTTGCACCACAGAGCTTGCGCCACGAAGCCTGCACCACAGTAAATCCACCACAGGTATTCCACCGCGTAGCTTGCACCGCAAGCCGTACATAGCTTCCACCACACGGACACCACATAGATCGCATCACATAGCTCGACATCCAAAATTCAATAACTCAGTGCTTGGGGTCCACGGTGGCCAGAATATAACTATATACATGGATGCCGCTGGGCGTATCCCATCATCCAGCTGGAACTCATTTGGAGGTTGCATGCTTCCTTGCATGCATCTGCAACATAATTACAGCTCCTCCGGCCTTAAGCCCCCAGAGCTTGCATCGCCGATGGCGACGACGGACGATAAAATGACGTTGCACCCCGTGGTTCGTTATAGGTACAGGATCGGCAAGAGCGTCGTGCCGTTCACTGGCTGGAAGATCTTCCCCCACATCGTGGCGCCCGAGGCGGAGGACGAGGACCTAGAGGAGCTGGTGACGCAGCTCGGTGGCGCTGGCGTCGTCATCTTTGGCATCCACTCGGGGTGCGACACTTGGTGGTTCTTGGAAACGGCTGGGCCATTTCTCTATTCTTTACCGTTTCCAAAGATGCTGATCCTGAGAATGAACACATTCTAAAACAGTTTAGAGATTAAGGTCAGGGCCAGAACAGCAATTCAAACGGAGACGGGGCCGGAACAAAAAGACGCCGGAATTGGAACACACACGGCAAAACGAGAACGGAAGCCCGCTTCGTCGCTCCCAAGAGCCATTCAGGTGCGGCATGATCTTCAGCAAGGACGGCCTCCTGGAGCCGGTGAAGGGCATGGTGTCGGAGTACCGCTGGGACTGGAAGTCCGAGAGCGTGAAGCAGGCGCTGCTGATCGGGCCGCCGCGGAGCGTGGGCCTCATCTGCCCGCTGTACGCGGCAGCACAGCGGCGGGAGGGCGACGAGGACGACGGGGCGGCCGAGGCGTTCGCCTACGCCCTCACGCAGGAGGAGGAGCAGGACGAGGAGCACCTCGTGGAGGGTTTCGAGCCGCACGGCGCCTGGCTCCCGCCCGACGTCAGGGCGGCGGCGGAGGAGCTGAAGGCGGAGGGGAACGAGGCCTTCCGGGCCGGCAGGGCGGACCTCGGGGGCATCAAGTACGAGCAGGCGCGCGTGCTCCTGGAGAGCGGCGGCCGACGGTGGAGCGAGCTCGAGGCGGGCGTGCGGGAGAGGCTGGACGGCCTCGCCGCCCTCCCGGGCCAGGGGCGGCCACCCGAGAAGGATGCGGGGAGGAAGGAGGACTACCGGGCGAGCGCGCTGCTGGTTCCGGTGCTGCTGAACCAGAGCGCGTGCTACCTCCTCGCGCACGAGGAGGACCAGCAGCGGAGCGCGGCCGCGTCCGCGAGGAGCGGAGCCGCGGCCGCCGAGGGGGACGCCACCACGGGCGCTGGGGTGCAGGAGGGCACCTTGGTGCCCGTCCGCGACAACCTCGTGGCCGCCTTCCGTGCGGCAAACGAGGCGCTGCGCATCACGGGGGGCCAGGCGGCCAAGGCTTGGTTCAGGCGCGCGTGCGCCTTCGAGAGAATGAGGGATCCCCGCAACGCGCTGCGGGACCTGGAGGAGGCGCTGCTGCGCGCGCCAGGAGACAAGGCGATCGCCAGGACGCGGTGCAGAAAAGCAACCTGTGGTCGCGGGCGGTCCGATCTCTTCGACCGCAGACCCACACATGGGGCGGCGTTACGCGGATGCCTCGCGCGGAAGCGTATCCATGGGATCGGATCACGTATGTATGGGATCGCGTTTCGGTGGACATGGATGTTCATGAGTATGTTCGTTGTTCATGATGCAGTGTGCGGTCGAGCCCCTGGCATCCATCTTTGAGATTGTTGTGGTTTGATCCTCTGACGCGTAATGGTCACTACCCAGGCCAACCCCAGTGATGGCGACGATCGTACGCGGGGGCGGAGGCTGGACCCCACACATGCTGGTGCCCGAGGGCACGTTGTGCTGCTCAAAGGCATGCTGCGGCTCTCGCATGCTCACCCCGCCCAAGAGTTACCGCCACCTGGCCCCCCCCACCCCCATCCCCGGGTCACGACCGTCGCCCGAACTAATACGTAGCACCCCGCAGTTACGGGTAAGATTGAGGGGGCGGGCGGGGGGCGGGGGGCGGGTGGGACGCAGGGTGGGTTGCGGGGTGGATCGCGGGGTGGGTCGCGTGTGGCCCGCGGGCAAGGACGACGACGACAACAACAACACCAATAATTTTGAGACTGCTCGCTCCTATCTGCTCGCGTGCCATTCAGCACGTATTTCCGAAACACTCGGTACCCGCCCATTTCGTCTTCGATCGTCCCCCCTGGTGGTATATCTTCCTTGCCTGCCACGTGCATGTAGTGCAGACCCTAAAATACGGAAAGAGAGGACGATGGAAGGGGGAGGAAGAAGGGTGGAACACGACAGAAGTTAGCAGGAGACGAGCTAGGAGCAGAAAACACGTGGCAGAACCAGACGGGCAGATCGGGAGGGCAGACCCTGGCGGGCGGGTCGGGAAGGCGGGCCAGGCAGCTGGGTCGAGGAGGCGGGTTGCTGAAGCGTGAGCCCTGCGTGAACTGTGAGGATGTCTCCAGCGATCGCGCGATTCCCAGGCAAATCATGAGAAACACCAAGGCGAGAGCGTGATTCATGAGTGTCGCGGGCGCTGCGTTTGAATAAATGGCGATGCGCCAGAGCGCGATTTCGGAATACATAGTGAGGAAGTATCAGGCGGCAACCGTTCTTGTTGTAGCCGGGGGGGCAGGCACAGTTGGGGCAGGAATATTGTCCCTAGTTTATATATATATATATATATATATATATATAAAAAAAAAAAAAAAAAAAAAAAAAAAAAAAAAAAAAAAAAAAAAAAAAAAACGGGTGCGAGCCTCGAGGGGGGCATTTCAATTGAAAAATACAATGTGCACCGGTTGGGGGGGAGATCAGCAATAATTACCTTTCAACAGTGAGGGTTCAACAGCAGCAGCAACAGCAACACCAAGAACACGCATGTTACGACTGTTCGCTCTTGCCTGCTCGCTTTTCTCGATATCCGCTCCGTCTTCTTCGATCCACCCTCTTAGGGGTGTGTCTTCCTCACCTGCAACGTGTATTGCGTGCAGTCCCTAAGGTTGGGCAGAGAGGACGGATAGAAGGAAGGGACAAGGAGCAGGCTGGTACTGAAGCGTGAGTCATGCATGCATCGCAAGGAAGTCTCGAGCGATAGCGCGCTGTCCAACTAAAACGAGAGGAACTCCACAGCGAGAGCGTGATTCCTGAGTGTAGGGGGCGCGGCTTTTGAAAACAGTTAGGAATCATTTGTGAGGACGTCCCGCGCGAGAGCGCGATTTTTGCTGTTCCCGACCATTTTGTGGTGTTGGGTCCTCGTTTTGAAGAGACAGCGCCCCGCGTCCCACTCACCCATTCCTCCTCCTCCCCCTCATCCCTCCTCCTCCCCCTCCTCCCCTTCCTCCTTCCTCCTTGCGTTTCACCCACCCAGTACAGTGCTTCGTGGCCCCATAGAGAGTTCCACCTAAGGCCCCAGTGGGGGTGGCCACATGCACCCGCCACACCCAGTACAGCGTTTCGTGGCCCCATAGAGAGCTCCATCTGCGGCCCCAGTGGGGGTGGCCACATGCGTCCGCCACACCCATTACCGCGCTTCTTGGCCCCATAGGGACCTCCATCTGCGGCCCCACTGAGGGTGGCCACATGCGTCCGCCACACCCAAGACAGCGCTTCGTGGCCCCATAGAGAGCTCCACCTAAGAGCCCCGGTGGGGTGGCCACATGCGTCCGCCACACCCAGTCTAGCGCTTCATGGCCCCATCGGGAGCTCCACGTAAGGCCGCAGTAGGGGTGGCCACATGGGCCCGCCACACCCAATACAGCTTTCCGTCGCCCCATGGGGAGCTCCACCTGAGGTTCCAGGATGGGGGCCACATGCGTCCGCCACACCGAGTACAGCGTCTCCTGGCCCCACCGGGAGCTCCACCTAAGGCCCCAGTGGGGGTGGTCACATGCGTCCGCCACACCCAATACAGCGCTTCGTGGCCCCATAGGGAGCCCCACCTACGGCCCCAGTGGGTGGCCTTATGCGTCTGCCACACCCAGTGCACCGCTTCGTGGCCCCATAGGAGGCCACATCCAAGGCCCCAGTGGGGGTGGCCACATGCGTCCGCCACACCCAGTACAGCGCTTCATGGCCCCGTAGGGAGCTCCACCGAAGGCCCCAGTGGGGTGGCCACACGCGTCCGCCACACCGAGTACAGCGCTTCATGGCCCCGTACGGAGCTCCACCGAAGGCCCCAGTGGGTGCGCACATGCGTCAGCCACACCCACGACAGCGTTTCGTGGCCCATAGGGAGCCCCACCGAAGGCCCCAGTGGCACCGCCCGCATGCGTCTCCCCCACCCATTACGGCACGTCCCTCACGCGTTTCGTTGCCTCATACGGAGCTCCACCGAACGCGGCACCCACAACGCGTTATTCACAACTGCATATGGTCGGGTCCTTTGCCAGGATCGTGTTTCCCAACCATCCTGTGGTGGTGGGTCCTCGTTTTGAAGAGACAGCGCCCCGCGCCCCTCCTCCTCCTCCCCCTCCCTCCTCCCCCTCCCCCATCCTCCCTGCGCTTCATGGACCCAGTACACCGTTTCGCGGCACCATACGGAGCTCCACGCAAGGCCCCAGTGGGGGTGGCCATATGCGTCCGCCACACCCAGTACAGCGCTTCGTGTCCCCATAGGGGGCCCCACCCAAGGCCCCAGTGGGGGTGGCCACACGCGTCCGCCACACCCAGTACAACGGTTCGTGGCCCCGTAGCGAGCTCCACCTAAGGCCCCAGTGGGGGGGCCACATTCGTCCGCCATACCCAGTCTAGCGCTTCCTGGCCCCATAGGGAGCCCCACCCGAGGCCCCAGTGGGGGTGGCCACGTGCGTCCGCCACACCCAGTACAGCGTTTCGTGGCCCTATGGGGAGCTACACCGAAGGCCCCTGTGGGGGTGGCCACATTCGTCCGCCACACTCGGTACAGCGTTTCGTGGCCCATATGGGGCCCCAACCAAGGCCCCAGCGGGGTGGCCACATGCGTCCGCCACACCCAATACAGCGCTCTGTGGCCCCATAGGGAGCTCCACCTAAGGCCCCAGTGGGGGTGGCCACATGCCTCCAGCACACCCAGTACAGCGCTTCGAGGCCCCATAGGGGGTCCCACCGAAGGCCCCAGTGGCTTCGTGGCCCTATGGGGAGCTCCACCGAAGGCCCCAATGGCGGTGTCCACATGCGCCCGCCACACCCAGTAGAGCGCTTCATGGCCCCATAGGGAGCTCCACCTAAATCCACAGTGGGGGTGGCTACATGCGCCCGCCACGCCCAGCACAGCGTTCCGTGGTCTACAAGGGAGCTCCACCGAAGGCCCCAGTGGGGGGGCCACACTCGTCCGCCATACCCAGTACAGCGCTTCCTGGCCCCATAGGGAGCCCCACCCGAGGCCCCAGTGGGGGTGGCCACATGCGTCCGCCACACCCAGTACAGCGCTTCGTGGCCCTATGGGGAGCTACACCGAAGGCCCCTGTGGGGGTGGCCACATTCGTCCGCCACACTCGGTACAGCGTATCGTGGCCCATATGGAGCCCCAGCCAAGACCCCAGTGGGGTGGCCACATGCGTCCGCCACACCCAATACAGCGCTCTGTGGCCCCATAGGGAGCTCCACCTAAGGCCCCAGTGGGGGTGGCCACATGCCTCCAGCACACCCAGTACAGCGCTTCGAGGCCCCATAGGGGGTCCCACCGAAGGCCCCAGTGGCTTCGTGGCCCTATGGGGAGCTCCACCGAAGGCCCCAGTGGCGGTGTCCACATGCGCCCGCCACACCCAGTAGAGCGCTTCATGGCCCCATAGGGAGCTCCACCTAAATCCACAGTGGGGGTGGCTACATGCGCCCGCCACGCCCAGCACAGCGTTCCGTGGTCTACAAGGGAGCTCCACCGAAGGCCCCAGTGGGGGTTGTCCGCATGCGTCCGCCACACCCAGTACAGCGCTTCGTGGCCTCATAGGGAGGAGCTACACCGGAGGCCCCAGTGGGGGTTGTCCGGACGCGTCCGCCACACCCAGTACGACCCTCACACGCTTCTTGGCCCGTTAGGCCTCCGCCACGCCCAGTAATCATAGTCATACACATTGACACTAGGCGTATCCATGCTTGCATTCATGCACATAGACCTACTCGCACGCATACTCAATCACAATCAGACGCGCTCGCGTTCAGTCTCACCCGCGCTCAGTCCCCCGTGATCAGGACTATCGTTTCCGTTCGTGTTGTGTACCCCGCCACACATGTTGGCACACCCTCACGGTTCGTGGCCCCATAGGGATCGCCCCCGAACAAAATATTCACAATTGCGGCACTCACAACTGCATATGGTTGGGTCTTTCGCCCCGATTATGTTGTACTTCGTGCGGAAGTTTCAGGCGACAGCCGTTGTTGTTGTCGTTGTTGATATCGTTGTTGTTGTTGTCGTTGCTGTTGTTGCAAACCGGGGGCCAACAGACCATTTTGGTGACACTTCATTTTCCCTGGTAAAGAACAGGGTGCGAGCCCCGGGATAAATATTTAAATTCAAAAATGCGTTTGTCATCGGGCAGGCGGGACCCACAACGATTATCATTTAGAGGCGATCGTACAACAACAGCAGCACCACCAACAACAACAACAGGCACAGCAGCAACAACAACAGCAACAGCGCAACAACAACAACAATCCGCACCACGGAACCCCACTTCGGCCACACCTCAATGGCAAGTGAAAGACCGCTCGGCCCATGCATTCTAACAAGACAATATCTCCCTCCTCTCCCCCCACCGCGCACCACGCTATCTCGCGAGCGGGGGGGATGGGCGCGGCGGCATGCGCAGGCCGCCGCGGTGGCTCGGCGCCCCCCGCGCAGGAAACGCGACGACGTCAGGGAGGCGGCCGCCAGCGTGGCGGAGAGCATGTACTACGCGCGGCACACCGAGCTGGACGTCAGTTCCGTTCAACCACTGCTATCACTATCATTATTAATACTACTACTACTACTACTACGACTACTACTACTACTGCTGCTGCTGCTGCTGCTGCTGCTACTACTACTACTACTACGACGACTACTACTACTACTGCTACTACTACTACTACTACTACGACTACTACTACTATTATGACTTCTACTACTATTGCTACTACTACTACTACTACTACTACTACTACTACTACTACTACTACGCCGGCTACTACTACTACTACTACTACTACTACTACTACTACCTACTACTACTACTACTACTACTACTACTGCTACTGCTACTACTACTACTACTATTACCTCGACCATTATTACCATTAAGACGACGAATCCTGTTATTACTACGACTACTACTACTACTACTACTAATACTTACTACTACTACTACTACTACTACTACTACTACTACTACTACTACGACTACGACTACGACTACGACTACTACTGCTACGACTACGACTACGACTACTACTAGTACTACTACTACTACTACGACTACGACTACTACTAGTATTTCTACGGCTACTACTACTACTTCTACTACTACTACTACTACTACTACAACAACTACTACTACTACTACTACTATCACTACTACTACTACTGTTTCTACTACTCTTACTACTGCTATTACTACTACTACTACTACGAAAACGACTTCTAGTGCTACGACTACTACGACTACGACTACGACTAGGATCATTCTTACTACGTTTACGACTACGACTACGACTACAACGAGTGTTATTGTGTCTACCACTGATACTACTACTACGACCAGTACTATTACTACTACTACTACTACTACTACTACTATTCCTACCACTACAGCTACTACTAGTACGACTACTACTACTACTTCTAGTACTACTACTACGACTACTACTACTACTACCATTACGAGCCATACTACTACTACGACTTCTGCTGCTATTACTACGGCTACGACTACGACTACGACTATTACTACTGCTACGACTACCACCAGTCATTCTATTGCTACTGTTACTACAACTGCTACTGCTACGACCATTCGTATTACCATTACTCTTGTTCTTACAACTACTATCACTACTACGACTACTACTACTATTACTACTACTACTACTACTACTACTACTACTACTACTACTACTACTACTACTACTACTACTACTACTACTACTACTACTACTACTACTACTACTACTACTACTACTACTACTACTACTACTACTACTACGGCTACTACTACTACTACTACTACTACTACCTACTACTACTACTACTACTACTACTACTACTACTACTATTACTTCTACTACTACTACTACTACTACTACTACTACTACTACTACGGTTACTACTACAACTACTGCTACTTCTACTGTTACTACGAGCGCTGCGACTACCATTACGTGGAATACCATTACGATTAATACTACTCTTACGACGGTGGCGAACATCATTACAACTACTACTAGTACTACTACTACGACCAGAAATTCCATGTATACCAAGTATTGTTTCACTACTTCTTTTTGTTGTCATACTCTTGTAATTTCCATTGCGCATATTATGATGGCTGCCACTACTACTACGACCACTACGACCACTACTACTACTATTACTACTACTACTACTACTACTACTACTACTACTACTACTACTACGACTACTACTACTAATACTACGAGTGCTACTACTACTGCTACTACTACTGCTACTACTACTACGACTACTATTACTATTACTAGTACTACCAGAGTCACTAATGCTACTACTACCTGCTACTACGACTACTACAACTACTACTACTACCGCTGCTACTCCTACTACTGCTAGCGTTATTAATGCCATCTCTACTACCACTACTCCGGTGCCACCGCCCGCATGCGTCACGCACACCCATGTCGGCACATCCTTCACACGCTTCGTGGCCCCAAAAGGAGCTCCACCGAAGTTCCCAGTGCCACCGCCCACATGCGTCACGCTCACCCATGTCAACTTACCCCTCACACGTTTCATGGCTCCACAGGGAGTTCCACCGAAGACCCCAGTGCCACCGCCCGCACGCGTCACGCACACCCATTTCGGTAGATGTTCCACACGTTTCGTGGCCCCAAAGGAAGCCTCACCAGCGGTTCTAGTGCCACCGCCCGCATGCGTCACGCATACCCATGTCGACACACCCCTCACACGCCTCGTGGCCCCATAGGGAGCTCCACCGGAGGCCCGAGTTCCACCGCCCCCACACCCAATGTGGCGCACCTCTCACACGTTTCGTGGCCTCATAGGGAGCTCCACCGAAGGCCCCAGCGCCACCGCCCGCATGCGTCACTCACACCCAAGTCGGCACACCACTCATACGTTTCGTGCCTCACAGGGTACCCCACCGAAGGTCCCAGTGCCAACGCCCACATGCGTCACGTTCACCCATGTCGGCACACCCCTCACACGCTTCGTGGCCCCACAGGGGCTCCACCGAAGACCCCAGTGCCACCGCCCGCATGCGTCACGCACACCCATGTCGGCACACCCCTCACACTCTTCGTGGCCCCAAAGGGACCTCCACCGAAGGCCCCAGTGCCAGTTCCCGCATGCATCACGCACACCCATGTCGGCACACCCCCCAAAAGTTTTGTGGCCCCATAGGGAGCTCAACCGGAGGCCAACATGCTACCGTTCGCATGCGTCACGCACACCCATTGTGGCACACCCCCCACACGTTTCGTGCCCCCAGATGGAGTTCCACCGGAGGTCCCAGCGGCTGCGTTCGCACGCGCCCACCCCAGCCATTTCGGCACACCCATCATACGTTCCGCGTCACCACAGCGAGTTCCACTTACTAGCCCAATGACTGCGTTCGCATACGCCCACCGCCCCTATTTCGGCACACCCCTCACGTGTGCCGTGGCCCCATGGGGAATTCCACCGATAGCCCCAGTGGCTGCTTTCGCATGCGCCCACCAGCTGCCACCAGACAAACGTTGGCACACCCCTCACATGTTTCGTGGCCCTATAGGATGCTCTCCCGAGTGCGGTTCATACAACGACGGTATTCGCAACTGCGC